TATATGTATATATATATGTATATATATATATACACACACACACACACAAAAATGTGATTTCAAAATTAATTTGGGCATTAAGCAGATTTATTTTTTTTAAAAAAACATTTATTCGCTAATTGCGCATCATTCTCTAATTAAATGCATTCGTAATTAAATTAGTATTGAAGAAAGAAGTTGTTTTTAGCGGAACAAGAGATTATTCACCTAGCAAAATATTTGAAAGTAACTTCCTTCTTCAATTTTAAATTATGAAAGCTTATATTTAATAATGTATTTGAACACTACGCTTCATGCGTTTGTGTGCGAAAGAATTGCACATATTAGAACTAAGCGATTTAAGAATATAATAAAAAACGATCAGAACATAACAGATTATTTTTCATAAAATGACATTAAAATTAGCTTCTATTTTATATTAATATATAATATAAAATGTTCTCTATGCAATTCATAAAAGATTTAAATATTTTACAATCATTCAATTATTGCTTGAATGAAATCATATTAAAACAAAAAAAAATTGTTAAATAACTTGTTATTCGCTTCTGATCGCATTATATATATATACTGAATTTGAGAACTATTTGTCTGGTAAGTTCCAGCCAATCTTCATGATATGTTGCTAATGATTATAGTAAATTTCTTTGGTGATCATTGCTATTTACATCGATGTTTATATAATAATTTCTAAAGTGTATTTAATCTCACAATCATTTTCAGGAATACCACGTTTTGTTAAAGAAATCGTGCACACACGCTTGCGAGTGTTTCTTTTATTAACATTAAGAAGTGAATACTACCTAGACAGATATTAAACTAACAGTATTATTACTATTACTATTAATGTGGATGTACACATGAAATTATAAATAAAATTACATATATATCAGGTTTAGGTTTTGTATCATGAAATAGTGAAAAATCAGTGGAAATTTTTTTGAAAATATTTTTTAATAGTAATTATTATTTTTAAACGAAATTTATGCTTTTCATAATATATTTCTATCATTAAATTTTATATACATATAGAGTTGATTATTAAATAATTTCTTGAAAATAAATTTAAACGAATTAATATATTTCATATTTGTTCAAATATTTAATATTGTATAAATATTTTATTTCGGAAAATTTATTGAAATATAAATAAATATATTCTTTTTATATGCAAATTTTATCCAATTAAAATTATTCAATATAATTTTTTTGTTACAAGTGAAATATTTCTCTATTATAAGATTATAAAAGTTTGTGCTCTTGTAAATATAGAAGCACCATTTCTTTGAAATACAGAAAATTTTAATACATTAGATAATTTTGCATAATATAATAGAAATATCAGGAACCATTTTTCTCGTTTTTTATACATTTGGATTGAATATGCAGCAAGTCATAAAAATATATTCTTCTTAATTTGATATTTTCAGTAGCACGATTTTCAATCTCTCAAATTTATTATTCTATAAAACTAATAAAAAAAATTCTCACTGTGATGTATTTTAATAAGATATTTAATATTTTTCATTAAAATTTGAATGAAAGTATATTATTTTTTTGAGCATTATTTTTTTTTTTTAGTGATAAATCATTCAACGCGATTGTGTTAAATTACTTTCATTAGTTAAAATGGGATTTAAGACATCCCTTTGTATATCTAGAAATATTACA